TTAATCTACTCCCGATGCCTACGATTAAAATAACAATGTAAGAGTTTATCAAATAAGGTTAATGGAAAGTTCATTAGATCTATACGTGATGACATAAATGGGGGCCTTGTCAACACCGAGGCGTTTTCGTTGCGTTTTTAGATTGTTTTCAAATCTCCAATCAAAACAATAGCCAATTTGCCAGCACATAGAATCAAAACACAGGAAAGGGCCTCTATGACAAGGAAATTAAATAGCATCCTGTGTTTTGAAGTCATAGCAGATTTTTATGTTGTGACCAGTCAGATGGACGGTTCAACAATGTCGACTAAGCCCATTTCACGGACAGCCATGACTCAAAAAAACACCGAATTTTGAGTTTGATATAATGCCCTTCGAAAGAGCCGGGTACTCGAGCTTTCCTTGATACCCAGGCTATTTCACGAGTAACCCATCCATTCGAAATCGAGTAGTTTGTGAAAAAGAGAAAAAAGAAGAAAAAAAGACCGGGGAAAATGTACCACGACTCGATTCCGAAWAGCCGAGTTATCCGTGAAATGGTCTATGAGCACCTTTCTGTTTCTCATTGCCATWGGTTGCCCACAGCATCGCACTAAAATTAGCTATGTACCTTATTCCTAGTCGAACCAGGGATCTGTCCAAAATTTGAACCGCCAGCGGAATGTCCAGATGAATCCTTCAACGAATGTGACAACGATGRTGGATGCCCAGTAGGGAAGAAATGCTGTTCGACGGGTTGTGATCTCGAATGTGTGMGTAAGTACAGTCACTTGACAGACAGACAGACAGACTCTTAAAGGGACATGGTCCACCAGCATCCCTTTCGAGCTTTTGTTTATGTTTGAAAATAGAAATACATCATAATATAAGCAAAAACTTACTCTTTATTGTTCTTTTGTCCTATATAAATGGAGATGCTTTAAGATTCGACCGTTAAACCGATGGATGGAAACGGATTGCAAATGGATATTCGAAGTCACCTCATTTTCCATATTTGAAAAATCTGAAACACGACCGCATTGCATGCTAGTGGACCATGTTCCTTTAAAGGGGTTTGGAACGTGTAACCGTCGCACTTTGCCCCATGATATTCAGAACTGATTAGAATATTTATGATAGTATACATGTACTGAGTTTTGTANATATTTCGACAATTCTCATAATTTTTGCAAAAGGCTGTATGCATAGATTGATGTTATTTAATTATATTTAAGGAAATGTCAATTAACGGATCTATCAAATAAGACAGCATTGAACATAAGAAGTGCACAGCGGTTACATGTTTTAGCATTGCCATTTATGAGTTTCTGGGGATTCTTGGTCTTTTCAAAAAATACCCAATTGCATTGTGGTCTAGATTCAGTACTTACAGACATCTTTTGATAGTGTGGCCAACTATTGTGTTGTAATGAACCTAGACCACAATTCATCTTGAATCCATTGTTTCATGTTACTTTGGRGTTCTCAGAGTAATTGTTAAAGACGTGAGTTTAGAAGTACAGGCTGCAGCTACAGTACTATATAGACTATATAATGTAATTGTACAAAGCACTGTCCTAAGAACAAAATCAAAAATTTCCGGAGAAAGCAGAATAAGACTTGGCATGTTYCTCGATGTTCATCCCTTGGGTCGTCCAGATACAGTGTTGCGGTCTACATGTACCTCAATTTTGCGAAACATTTAGTATACCCTTAGCCCAACTTGGGAAGGAAATCCTGCAGGACAGTTCATAATTTTGATATAGTTCAATTAATGACGAAATCTCTATTGATTTGTGGATTTTGTTTTTTGCAGCGCCKGTTCGTCCTATAACGGTGAGTATGTCAGGCCCACGACTTGAGACAGACATAACTGCCTGCAATGATCTGATCATGAGATCAAATGRGATCTGGAAGGTGTCACGTGTCAATAAATACTATATATGTAAAATTGATGATGTTAAACCATGCCATAAAGAGTTTAGATCTTAATCGAAAAAAACATTGTCAGGTTCAAAAAAGGTTTGCGTCACCAAAGCTAAGATTGAAGAGGATTATGGGTATCCCATGCTTCCGTTCGGTCTTAGCTTTGCAATGTAATTTTGCAGACGGAACCCGACAATAGCGAGGCGAAATGGACTAAAACCCACCTTATATTGGATTGAAGATACTGAAGCGTGGGCTGTAAGGTTCGCATACAGACCACATGCCCATTCGAGTTCACCTCGGTTTAAGAACAGTTCTTGCTGTCGTTTATACAGAACTTTTCCATCAYCAGATATAGGAACTGGTCTCATCCGAGACGGGCAAAGTTCTGTTTTAGCGGYAGCTGAACTCTCTTGAAGCCGAGCTGTTGGTCTTAAACTTGACCGKCGCGCCTCGTATAAACGTTATAAACGCCCATCCGTYTCAGATTGATCAYTATCAAGATTTGAAACATCCGTGAGAAAATATTATTTCTAGCGACTCCTCGAGTTGTCCTATCCCTTATTATTTGCGTACATATGGGTGAGACTGTCTAAAGACAACGTTTAATGACAAAAGTGTATACCATTGTCATCTCATATACCAYGTGTAGTTAGTGCTCATGCATTATTTCTGCACCTAATGATGCATGCCAAAGCAATGCCTATTAYAYAYGCATCAGGAGTTTCGGAGAACAATGCGTCCGCCATCTTGAAAAGTGAGACTCAAATCACTAAATTATAACTCCTAAAGAAATTAAAAGGTTCTAAGTTAATGTAAATTTAATATAGTATACGTTATGATGATAGATTAGTTGACTAAGCAACTATGAAATTTGTTCTAAGGCAAAACAGTGATTCCGGGCCCACTTTTCAAGATGGCGGACACATTGTTCTCTTAAACTCCTGATGCATGTATACCTGCATACCCATATTAATGACTTGTGTTTTACATGTTATTCAATGTTGCATGTTATGCTTATTATTATATTATATCCAGTGATTTGTTTTTGATTCATTTGCAATGCATTGCTGACTATTTTGCTGTATTATATCGATTCTTATTGCTCTTATTTTCATCATTGATAACAGTTCACTCTACAGATCTTCCTTTCTGTCGTTATGTTAGATTGGTGCAAGCGGTCGAGAGGAAGTTGGRGGAAATATATTTTCTCWCTAAKTTCTCCTTAAMCCCCAYCCCCCACTTCCTCRAMCCGGCCCCACTTKTAASCGTCGTKGTTTTGCKKRGATGACCACGATGTCRAAGGTAACGTATTTCTTGKTATTTTTTAACAAACCCTGATATCCTTTCTATCTCCTTTTCAAACCAATCCTCTCCTTTTCCAATATATATATTGATGATTAATAACTGTTTGTTTTTTATTGTTTATATTCACCAAAAACCATCGCAGTTCTATTCCATGTGTAATTACCTTATTCAATGWAACTTTGGACAACTGAAAATGCAATGAAACATAAGCCACAAGCAGATTCTAGAAGTTTTTTCGCGTAGATAATTCGCCTATAAATTGAACAACCGTACAAGTCTGTGGCTGCTTAGATAACTGCTGTTTAGATAACCGTTCCGACACAAAGTTCAAGGRAACTTCAAATTTTGCGAATAGTGCTCCCAGCCAAACACATTTATTTTTCGTTTCGGATATAAAATCCAAAACTATCAATGCTTGTATTGTTATTCAATAAMGARTCGCAACAAAATTAAGGTTATACACTTTTCTCAACCACACGAATAATCTTATAATCTATGACGTTCATGTCCAATCAAATTTTAATGAAACGAAAAATCATATTTCCTGCAAGAACCGGCTTGAGTTGATAATACCAAATACCTTTACACTGTGCCCTCAAAATCGCAAAGTTCGTCATTAGGATTTTATCATTAGTTTAATCGCCTTGGAAGGTTATCCATCGTGTCTGTTGAATATCCCGGGCATTGACCGGGGAACTCTCGTTTTCAACGCCGTTGTGCTGACCGCGGTGTTGACGCACGAATAGTCGATATCTTCCACAACCYCAGTGACATATTTACTGAAAAATACTTCTGGAATGGAACGGGGAAGTTTCGGCTTCAGGGTTCTATTGCATACAGCTGAATAGATGCGAGAGGTGTCCAGATCCTCACCAAACTCGGAGGCATAGTCCTTATTCATTAGAGTATTCAACTTCTTCAATTTTCTGTCAATTACCTCTTGAAGAGTGTGCTCTGGACAGAGCAGGTTGAGTTGAGAAGGCTTKTCMTCGTCTTGAAACGAAAGAAGTCCACACAATTGCGTCCTGGAATCTTTCTCTTTCTTACGGTGATACTTCGAAGGGCTCGAGTTGCGGAGTTTTACMAGAGTTTGTAAATTTTCCAAACGYCTGCATGTCTTAGTCTTGAACCACGACATAGCGTAATGACATTGTCTTCTGAGCTCTTCCATTTCGGTCAGTTCTCGTGGAAGGACAGTTTTCCCGCGCCCKAATGCTTCCTTCAAACGATCGATAATGAATCGCCCAAGACCGTAGAGGTGTCGGTGTGTGTTTGCTTGGAAGTCGATGTAATGGATCAAGATGAGAATGAAGATGTTGACGAAAACGAACATGGATGCCAGACCATAAAGTGTGTGGTAAAAAGGGCCAAGTATCCGATTACTGAACTTGATCGAGTAGAAGTCAAACTGATTACCGATCATAACAGAACATAAAGTTACTAGRCATTCCAAGACGGTRCTGAACGCGTGAAGGTCTCGCCCAAATACAAGTACCCCAAAWTGAACAAAAGCAAACAAACCAATGACCAGCATTACTGAGTAAGATAGTACATCCCTTATAGCGGTACCAAGGACGCCGAAGAAATGCTCCACTGGTCCAAATCTTATCCTCATCAGTAGTTTCAAGGTGTTGAGGAATATCAAAAACGCCAACAKTATATTGGTAGTGTAATGTAACTGCACCACAAACTCAAACTCGTTATTACYCTGCTGGATGTTTTCCTTCAATTGTTTGCTGATGATGTCCACATGTACCAACTTAAATACATTGACAACAATCCATGCAATGGCAAAGATAATTTGGAAGTTCTCCACCCAGTTGAACACAKTGCTTAAGTACTTAACCAAGCCTTTTCTCATCSAAATGATTTGCTTCACAAGGTAATACAAGACAAGCAGTGGAAACAATAACTGAACCAGTAGAAGAACCACATCGTAGCCAGCTCCTATGTCATACACACGGATGGTCTCGATCTGTGTGCCAGTTCTTTCCAATGTTCCAATCGAACTCTTTTCAATGACTATCTTGACTCGGCTRAAGAGCATGGTCTCGGAGTTAAACAGGACAAACACGAGAAACAGAGCCGCTGTTTGTCTGTCCACCCAGCCTTTAGCTTTGAGACTATTGATGRTGCCTTGTGCCCTATCAAGAGGGCTTTCCATGATCGCACTGTATCCTCCGCTGGAATACACACGAAGACTGTCCAGGTAGCTCCATGTTGGGCCTCCAATAGATGAATACACCCAAGCTTCTTCAAATGTTGTGGTGGCATTRAAGGAGGATGCGTTTTGCAAGGTTTGAAGCCATCTTGGTCGGAAGGAATGTGATTCTTCAAAAGAGGGCTTGTATGGCACAGTACAATTAATAGCTGATTGAAGGGGGCTCACGGTGCATTGMCCTAAAGGTATAAGAGCTTTTCCTACAATTGTTTTTTTTAGTTGTTGTTGTGGTACTTTGTTAGTGATCATTATAGAGTGCACGTGAAATTAATCCGTGAAATGTAGATGTTATCATGAACAAATTTGGCTTTTACAGGCATAAAAATTATTACTATTCGTTTCAGGGATTAAATGTGTGCAGGCTAGAATGAATGCTGTTATAATTGTGATATTACTGTTTCTATAATAACATTTCTATGCAGCAATGGAGAGAGCAACAACATTCAACACTGATTTGTTTCTGTTACCATTGTTTATGTATAGTTGTCTAGTTATTTTTGTTATTGTATTATTTRTTCTGCTTACCTCTTTTCACTCTTTTCTGTGTGATTATTGGCATCCCGACATGAACATAATCTCCAGTGAGGTCTCCATACAATGACGGCAGCAGAAAATTGCTTATCCAGTTCCAAAACGAAGTAACATCCTTAATTTCATACTCCTACAAAAAACAAATTTGATTGATCCATTTATYGAGATATCATTAATGATAAAACCCAATTGAGTACCGTACTTTCAGCCCTTTTGAATACACCTTTTCAGTTGCTCTTAGGCCTCGACAGCGTGTTAAATATTCTTTTGAATTTGTAGGAATGTGAGCAATGCAAACATTGATATGAATAGTCTCATTTGTCAAATTCAAAAGAATAATTAACTTGCTATCGAGGCCTAAGAGCAACTGAAAAGGTGTGTATTTCCTCATTTTGGACGTGCTCAAGAGTATGAATGACATAATATCCGCTATACACCAGATAATTTTTATCGGTAGAAAGTCAATGCTTTTTCAAAAACCGAACCATTGTCGCATGAAACGTTTTGGTTTATTTTTATTTTTTTAATTTTTTCACGAGGACAATTGTAACCGCGAGAATTTACCGTTCAAGGAAAGGTGACTTAAAGTAAAAGTATTATAGGTCTGTAGAGACTTACCGGGCTGCCATCTATTGCCTTTGATATAGTGGATGTCGAGGTATACATGAAGTAGTCCCTTCCTGCATAAGCCACCATCATTAGGCTCCAAAGATAAATAATAAAAAACACAAGCTCAATGAACCAGTGTTGTAACGACATGTTCATCTTTTCAAGTCGCGTTGCGTTGCGCAGTTCTTCCTTGCTTGGAGGCACTGGCTGTTTATGAACCTCTTCGTTATTGTCTGGATCCAGCATCCCTTTTGATGGCTGGACATCATCCATACTCACCACGGCACCACTTCCCTTGAACGATCTCTTCAGTACTAAGCTAGGAGCACCCCTGCGACAAACTAAAACGCCTAGCAGCACCAGTAACAGTAAGCTCATCGGTTTCTCGATGAATATGTCCAATGAAAGAGACATTACAATTGATATTAACCACTGAGTTGTTATCTCTTGCCCCCATTGCAGGGAGTAGAAGATTATGAACAGCGATGAAATTATGATGGACATAAAACACAACAAATACGCCACGCAGACAAAGCAATTTGGAAGACGTAGTGTACATGTCTTTGTGGTATCCTTTGGGAACGTTACTGGRCGAGTAATCGAATACCTGGTATCGAACTTCGCTGAAGGAGTTGGCGATGGTCGTATATGTTCAAAAATAAACACGATAAAGATATGAAATGGAGCGACAATAAGTGTGCTTTGCAATGCCACCAATATCTGGCGCAGCTYAAGGCGTAATGGACCGATTTTCARAGAAGGATCGTTGTTTGATGACTGCTGTGGCGCCAGCTCGTAAAACATGGCRCTTACCAGCATCATACTCAAGACAATAGACCAACAACATGTTACCCTTTGTACCCTCGTGAACAYTGAATTGGGAGTCTTGGCGAACACAGAACACCACARATGTTCATTAGCGAGTCCTTCGGAAAGCCGGCCATTGAACGAAGTCTTGAAGCTGTTAAGCTCTTCCTTTGTGGATRCACTTTTGKTGCGGTCTACAARCCCAGCGCCTTTTTCCACGGCAAGCCATTGTTGGAAGATGAATGTTGACGGCTGGTGATGATCTCGACTTGTTATAACGACGTGGCTAAGATACCATGAGGGGTTAGAACCGGAGTTATCGTGCCAGATCCGTATTTTGTTGATTTTACCCAAGTTTTCCWGGAAGGACAATACGAAAAYATCGGTGTTCCCTCGAGAAAATGGAACACAAGAAGGATTATGAAGAAGTACAGGATGACTTGATTCCCTTCCTTGGAGGACAATGTAAACACGCGCAGTTGTGCCCGAGTTTCGCCACACTCCTGTAGTAATAGCGACTTGGTATTGGTGCGCAGTGGAAGACARAGAACCCAGAAATGGACTGACACCAACCTAAAATAAATCAAGAATCTTGCAGTCAAAATGAGGTGAAATAGGGTTACGACATGCATCACAATCAACAGATATCATCACCAGAAGCATTCTGTATCATATAACCGTATATTATCATCATTACTAATCAAAGTAAACAAAGAACAATCAAAGTAAACAAAGAACAAACGTTGCCCAGGGGTAACAGCGGCAATCCTTCGACGTTGTAYACAAACGTCGACGGTTCAAATCACGATCCAGGCATCATACGAGTTTGTAAACTTGCTCTCTCCCTTATTAGTACGACTTAGGCCCAAGCACGTCTAGTCAGCTACGAACCAGCAACGAGGAGTGTTGTGACCGAAGTAATGTAGGTAAGTGGACCAGTGCGCGGGGAATTTGCTAGTGATCACAAGCTATTCTTTATTATGATCATTACTTACGTATTACCAAAAGCACCGGGTTATTTACCAGATTTTGGGTTTGCAAACGTATGCACAACTGAAACTGCTATTTTTTATACTAATAATGTTCAATTTTGTCTTTTCCAACAAATGAAGATTTTAGGACTTCAGCCTTGTAAGTATTATATGGTTTGTTTTGTATTTTTTTTCAACAGATGAGTGAACATCATCTATTCAAGGCGATCTTGGATCAGTTCTCTAAGCCTAGTGTCCATATGATCATCCCAAACACCTATTTCCGTTGTTGTAGTTTCCAAAATGTTTTATTAAAAATGGTAAAACGTAACCCGTCAGTCGATCAGGATAATTATATGGACACTAAGAACAATTCGTCGACAATACATTCCCAGAAATTTGATACAGTCAGCGGTTCGATGTAAACACGCGGGCTCGTGTATTAGTGAAGCAAGGACACGGGATTTTAACAGCATAAAAGCGGTTTTCTTGCCAAAAATCCACTTATATATCTAAGTTTATGCTCTCTGAACTGTAGTTTCTCTTTGTATTTAAAGAGAGACGCCTTTCTTTCATCTGACATATCTTCTTTGTATTGTTTCGATATCCCCGCCAAAATCTTTCACACAGGAAACCCAAAATGCTTATTTTGCTAGAAAATGCCTATTTTGCTACATGAAGAGACATGGGAGGTTACTAAGGTATAAACAGAAACAAATGGCGTGCTAGATCATGTAGGAGTACTAAATCTCTTGTTTCTGCTCAAAAAAATCGACTTGGACCTTCGCATTCCACAATCCGAGAGGTCAAAGAATGGCAGATCTTCGAAGGAAAATGGAACCGGTTTAGGTCAAGTTTTTTTATGTTTTTTTGGCACAGAAATGTAGCTTAGTATGTGTTCTAACGAATAAGATTTGTGGGGATGAGAAATCTGGTAGTTAAGACATGTTTATAAGGATCTCAACAACCGGATGTCAAGTGTTTTATGGTGTTTTTACAAGGAAAGTATGGCGGCTGACGGCTATTTTGGTGAGTATTTTCAATTGATTTTGGAACCGGTTTAGGACTTCGAAACGGCTTATTTTATATCGCCATATCAAAGACAATACATCAAACTTCAAAATACGATTTGTGGGAAAATTCGAACGTCAAAAATAACAGAAATATTTGAAGATGAATAAAGTATTACATACATTTCTTTGTATTTTATTGCTCATTAAAATGCCGTGTATTAGCCGACCAGATAATTAATGCGCATGCGTCGCGCCATGTTGTATCGAATTTCTGGGAATGAGTCTCCTTAACGGATACGTGCGCCATCTTGAAAGGTAGCCGTGCCTTTACATCGAAGCGAGACAACCGTTAAGCGTGCAATGATAGATACCTGAATAATTGTCTGTAGGTGTGTTAGAAGGTTTCTATCATTGCACGCTTAACGGTCGTCTTGCTTCGATGCAAAGGCTACCTTTAAAGATGGTGCAGGAAACCGTGAAGAAGACTATTTTAGTATTTTGATATAGTTTTACCTTAATCTTGTCRTTATTATCCTGTCGTCTTGCCCACGAAACACCAATAACATACACAAGGAAGATGCAACCAAGAGCAACGAAAGCTACAATGTTACCACTCTCGGGAATTTCGGTAAACTTGACGAACACAACACCAAAGTCRATAGGATTTGGGGCGACATAGAACTGGGAAGCAAATGCCGTCAAGTGGTTGCACTTGCAAACCGATGACTCAGCCGTCCACTGACTACCAACCTGAAGACAAATTCCGCCGATTTATGCTTAGCTATATTTCAAAAATTGTT